TATAAACAGGAGGTCGGATTTCCATGACATCCGGTTTATACAAAGGCAAGTAATGATGATAATGACCTACTTAGGCCATCCTTTCATCTCCTTAACTCCAGGCAGATTAGAAACTAGAGAAATACAGAATTCAAAGAAAAAAGGAAAATACATATCTAGCTCCTAATGGTACCTGAGCAGGCTCTTCACTTTCTGACCAAATCTATACCTTGTCACACAGGCCTTACCTTCCCATCAGTAATAGGCTGTTGTGTGTCCTGTATACAACCTGCCCTCAAGTAGGTGGCAGGCCATGGCCATGGCCCAAAGTCAGAAAAAAGTCTCCTTTTATGCACAGTGATAAAGAAAAAGAGCCTGAATGACTTGGAGTTAGGGGTATCAGGCAAAAGGAGGCCCACCACAGGGGTAGGATTTGCAACTTAAAAGACATAATCATAATCTAGCAGTCTTCTCTCAGCTCCTAGGGGAAAAATCAGCCCAGGAAAGCAGCTAAATATGTCAACAGCTAGACATGGGGACTGGTGTTCAGCAAGCTCTAATTCAAAGGTACATTAACTCTTGCATTGCACTTATGAAGCCATGTCCCCAGTACAGAAAGAAGAGAACCTGGAAAACACACACACACACATTTATACATGATTACAAGAATGAAATTCTGAACATGGGACACAGATTTGACTGGGTAGAAGGCACATATATCTGGCAAGTTCCCGTACAGTGGCCAAAATAATATGACAATTACTATTGACAGGTATCCAGCATATCACAGGTTACAAAGCATTTTCACAAGACCTCATCATCCCCATTTTACAAGGAAGAAAACTGAGCTTTGAAGATGCACAAGAAGCTTTTCAAGCTGCACATCTAATAGCAGAACTGAGGCAAGAATCTGGGTTTCTCAGACTCCAGGTTGGGTTTTAACATGATCAAGAACAGGTAGGGCTAGCTTGGACAGAACCACACTAAGCATCCTTGATTATCCATCCTAGGCCTCAAATGTTCTCACAGCAATGTGATTTCCACATAGGGAATGGAGGTGCACTGCTACATCAGTCACCAATTTGGTCCAATGATCTGCAAAGGTGTTCAGTTAGTATGGGGTTATGGGTGAAGACTTTTCTTTGTCACTATACTTTCTATTATATGCCAAATAACCTAGGAATGATGTTGTCAAGGAGCTACTCAATCTTAGCTAAGGGTGAGTATGGGTGAATCAGGCAATTATCTTATAACATGGAGATGTAGCATCCCAGGAAATTACCTATTCACCTACCAACATCATCAGCACTAATGAAAATTCAGTAATTCAGTATGATCCATCTCTATGTCCTCCTTAGACATGTCAGACCTTAAATAGATTCTGGAGAGTGCTTCAGAGATGAAGAAGAAAATAAGGGCCCTTGATCATACACCAAATAGGTGACAGTGCCATGACTAAAGCTCAAGTCTCACATTTCCTAATATAGGTAGCACTGTTTTCACAATACCATTCTACCCTCAACCAAAACCAATGTAAAAGAAAAATAGAGATAACAGTTCTATTTACAAAGATCTATCAGAAAAGACTCTCCATAACCTCCATCATGCAATCCCTTGGCGATATCACATAATCTTACTAGAAATGTAAACCTAAACATAAATACTCATTCATGAGAATTAAAAGGTCTTTCTTGGAACCAATATTCACATCACTAATACAACAGCCTAATCTCATTTCCTTCTGCTGGTGATAACACAATAGCCAGCCCCTTGGGTTCTGCAGTACTCTTCCTGAAGAGATATGAAGAACATTTGACTATTCTTAAACAAAAAAAAAGGTTCACAGTGATCAAATAAGTGCTCATTCAAAATATAATCTGAGGCAACAGGGAATATTAACCTTAGTTTCTTGAGAAATAAACACTGATATAGTAGGAAGAATACTGGAGCTCTGAGTTATGATTTAGGTTCTATCATTAATGCTCTAGGTCTATGATCTCAGTACTCAGTCTAGACTTGTGCTATTTGATATAGCAGCAACTAGCCATCTGTGGCTACCAAACACTTGAAATGTGGCTAGTGTGAATTGAGATGTACTGTGAGTATAAAATGCACACCAGATTTCAAAGAGAAATATATATCATTAATACTATTATAGTGATAATATATATTATATAATATTTTGGATATATTTGGTTAAGTAAAATACATGAAAACTAATTTCACCTGTATCTTTTTTACTTTTTTAATGTGGCTACTAAAAATTTTTTAATTGCATTAAAGACTTCATTATAGGGCCGGGCGCGGTGGCTCACGCCTGTAATCCTAGCACTCTGGGAGGCCGAGGCGGGTGGATTGCTCGAGGTCGGGAGTTCGAAACCAGCCTGAGCGAGACCCCGTCTCTACTAAAAATAGAAAGAAATTAATTGACCAACTAAAAGTATATATACAAAAAATTAGCCGGGCATGGTGGTGCATGCCTGTAGTCCCAGCTACTCGGGAGGCTGAGACAGGAGGATCACTTGAGCCCAGGAGTTTGAGGTTGCTGTGAGCTAGGCTGACGCCACGGCACTCACTCTAGCCTGGGCAACAAAAGTGAGACTCTGTCTCAAAAAAAAAAAAAAGACTTCATTATATATTCTTTTGTCTAATACAAATATAATGACCAATGGGTCTTAACCCAGGCTACACAGTCAAACCATCTAAGAGGTTTTTTTAAAAATCTAATTTCTGGGCCCCATATTCAAAGATTATTTAACTAAACTGAAGCCTGGGTTTTAATGTTTTTTTTGTTTATTTGTTTGGGGATTTTTTTTAAGCTACTGAAGTGATTTTGTTGTACAGCCAGGGTTGAGAACCACCGGGCTAGACTTTGTACCAAATGGCTTCTAGGGATGTGTGCCTAGAGAAATACTGGCCTTGCACTTAGGAGTATCAATGCCTGCTCATCAATATTGTGAAGACTGGCTCTGCCAGTTACCTCTCTGAGCCATCCTGGCTTGCTCAATTATTTCCCCCATCCCTTGATTTATGGTTTATTATAAAAGTGGCATTTCCCTGGAAATCAAATGCATTTGGACTGGGCGACATCATCGCTGGGTACAGTTTAATTCTTTTTTTAAAGAGAGAAGTCTGTCAGCACAAAAGACACAAGCTGTACATGTACAGGACCTCATGCTAGTCCTGAAGGTCTGTGGTTATTGATGTGTTCTGACTACCCCTGGGACTGATTCATCAACCAGCAAAGCTGAACTAGGACACAGCATTTGGAGATGGATGGAAGATGCTGCCTAAGCAGAGAAGAAAGGAATATATATTTCATTAAAAGATTCTCAAGATAGATGGGGTGAGAAGTCATTTTGTTCATTCCCCTGCTTCTGGGCAGTGCCCTCACCTAAGATATCCCAACAAGATAACAATATTTACTGGGTTTGCAGCCCTCTGAGGAAGGAGGCTTCTTTCAACCTCTAGGGACAGCCTTGATACATGAACCTTCTTGGGACTAATAAGATGGTGGTAGTGATAATTATGATGATAATGATAAAACAAGTTACCATTTGCCTAGTACCTAATATCTTGGATATATATCTCTATATAATATCTGTTGAGTACTGTCCTAGATACCTTACTCACATATGTGACCTTCTTAAATCCTTATATAAAAAGTCTGTTATCCCTATTTTTCAGATGAGGAAATCAAAGCATAGAATGTTAAAAATCTTTAAAAGCTATAGAGCTAGGAGGTAGTAAACCTATATCTCAAGTTAACTAACTCCAAATGCCCTGCTCCTTCCTTCATATCACACTGCCATAATTCCAATCTTGTAGTCCTTCAACATCCAAGAGCCTTTTTGTTTGGGGTCCAGAGGACCTAACCCTCATCTTACAGGAGAAACTAGAAAAAAAGCTGATGAGATGTGGTAAGGATGGTTATAACACACTTCCATGTGGCACTGGTACTCGTCTTGCCACAAAGCAGTTTTCACATGTTTTATTTCATTTCCTATGACATCCCCTGGCATTAAAGAATTGCCAAGACTATTTTGCAGATGGGTAAACCAGAGCTCACAATAGTGAAAGAATCGACTCCAGTTCACAATCCCAAGGAAGGCCAAGAACTTGAACACCTAGCCAAAACTCTTTCCTCATAGCACCCTTAGGTGACAAGCACCCAGGGTCACTTCCTCCATAGTGACTGGGAAGAAGCAGAAAATGCTGAGAGTTCCTTCCAAAGAGCCCCTCTGTTAAAGGTCAGGTTATTCATGGTACAATGTCAAAGAGGCAGGGCCTTGCAAGACCTTACAGACTGCCTGCTTCCCACCCCCAGCACATCATAGATCCCAGCCACTTGACACTTGAAAAAAGTAACTTCTGCTATCAGTAAGCTCTAGCCCCTGGGGGTCAGCAAGCCCACACTCTTACTTTAACCTCTGAAGACAGTCCTGTGACAACACATAAGGGTGTTCACAATTTCCTAAATGAGAGAAACAAGACAAAGAAGCAGAGAGGAAGGACAAGGGGAGAGTAGAAGAGAAGGGAAAGAAGAGAGGATAAAAGAGAACAGAGGAGAGAAGTGAGCAGAGAGGAGAGGCAGAGATGGGAAGGATCTATAAGAAGAAAGGATAAAAAAGAAGGTACAAGGAAAAGAAAGCAGAAAAGACAACATCAGAAAAGCAAAAGTTCACAACAATATAGAGTTAAAAAGGTGTTCAAAAACCACCAAAAGCCAAACTCCAAAGAGGAAACTAAGGTCCAGACAAGGGAAGTGATTTGTACAAAGGTAGAAGGGGGGGGAAGTCAGTTAAAATAAATAAGAGACAAAGGAAAAGTCTACAAATGAAAAGGACAAAGATTAAAGGAAGCCCAGGTCCTTGGTAGGAAACAATTTTTAAAACAAGAAAAAATATGAGAAAAGCCACCAGGAGAGGAATGAGCAGGAGAACAGGGGCTGGTGAAAGGGAAGCCAAGGGGCAGGCAGGAAGCCAAGGAGAGAGGTATAGAGAGTGAAGGCTGACACTCACCCTCACAAAGCTGGCAGGAAACCATCCCTCCTCATCGTCGATCTGGCCCCACCACCAATCCTTGTTGGAAGCATCCAAGACTTTGATGACGTCGCCAGCTTTAAATGCCAACTCCCGGTTGGCCATGGTGACGTGATCCCATACTGCCTCAGCACTAACGATGGAATCTCCAGTGATCAGCTTAGGAGACAAAATGAGAATGTATTCAGTCCACACAGCTGGCTACCTTGTCTGCCCTTTCCCCCACCCACAGAGCTCTACTATTCATACAAAAACTCACAGACTCTAGTGGTGAGGGCTGGGGGTAGCTCCATTGGACTATAAGACAAACAATACTGTCAACTCTGCATTAGCCAGTGCATGGAATGACCCAGAGTATGAATACAGACTCTATAAGCCTCATGCTTTTATCCCTACTCATGAACTCCTCCCAGAGAACAATGAAAGTGCCAGTCCATCTCTCCTTGGTGCTTCAAGGCAACCGTGGGTCTGGAATGCGTGAAGAGGCTGAAATCAACGGGTAAAATGAGCTTCATGCACATTGGCTTTTAATTCTCTGTGCTCCTCTCCCTTGAAGCTGACCAATTGAGAATTGGTGATTCATTATTTAACTCTACCATGACCTTCCCCATGGTGTAACAGACCATGACATTCCTCACATACAATGAACTCCAGTTCTGCAGCCTTCTTCTCTCACCCACACATGATACCATCTAGAGAGGTCATGGGTATGAAAGAATATGGCTTTCTGTGATGCCTTGTGCCCAAGAAACTCAAACTTGGCACAGATTCACTTAGTGATTTGTACAACCACCCTGTGAGATACAGGGGGTCTGGGCATTTGATACATGGCAAAACTGAGCAACACAAAAGTTAAGGGATGAGGCTAAGATCATCAGGCAAGTCAGGGACTGTGTATGGACCCTAACTCTGGTCATTAGACTTGATGGCCAGCAGGACTGGGCTTCACACAATGGCAGGCAGACATCTATTCCATTGCCACATGAACAAACAGACATTCATGACACTCATCTAAACATATAAGGATAGGAGTGAGGAGTAGTTTGCCTCTCTCTGGCTACCATCCTGACCACTGTGTTATTTGTTCTCTTTTTCCCTCAACTGTTCCAGGTTATATGGGCCATCAGTCTTCCCTACATTTGGGGAAACAGATTATATAATAGAGAACATATGGCTGGTCAGGGAAAGAGACTCAAGAACTCTCTCCCCAGCACTGAATTGTTGAACATGTCCTCTGGAAGTCAGCTTTTTCATCAGCCTGCTTTGAGGAAGGACTGACTGACTCTCCAAGGCAATCATGGCTCCATAAGACCAAAGAAAAAAACAGTTCAAAGACAACAGAGACAGTCTATGTAATATGCACCCTATCCCACAGGTCTGCTCTCCAACATACTAGCCAAAATATAACCCTATGGTCACACAATGAATGCACATACATGGCACAGATATAAACACAGTCATAGACACACTGAATGCTTAGTTAAGGTGTTCAGTTCCTCAGGCCCTGCCTGAGGCATCTATCATTGGTCAAAACTCTAGTCTTTGTGTCTTTCACAGAAGGTAAGGCACAGTGAGAGTTCCTCAGCATGGACACAAAGAGATTTCCAGCAGGACCTTTTACAACACCACCTTTCAGATAGCTCATGCCTTACTGTCTGCAAAGTGTTTTCATATCTATTGCATCACTTAATCCTTAGTGAATGAGCTGGGTCTATTACCTAAATTGTAAAGATGAGGAAACTGAGTTTCAGAGACGTGACCTGGTCCTTCAGCCAATAACACAAGTAATAAATTATGGAGCTGGGTCTTCTTACCTCATGTGCTCTTACAGCCATCAAACTGTACTAGCAATGTCATATTATCTATACTGAACTTACAGAACTCCATCCATGATATCATAAAACAGATGGTTGTTACTCTTAAAGAACTCTAAAGAAAGATTTATACAGCCACCTTTAGTCACTGGTTTCCCTACCTCTGAAGAGATTCATTTTATGTTAAAGTTGCTTTTTTCCAATCATACAAAAAGTCAATTTCTCCTTGTTCTGGACTCAGTGAAGAAGGAAAATTGCTGGTCAATGGCCTCAATAAGATAAATCATTTTAGAGAAGTCGCCTCTAACCAGGCAAAGATGGGCCCCAACTGGGTGTTGTTAGAGCTCAATAAGCACATACAGCCCCAACACACAGCACCATAACAGCTTGTAGTTTAAACCTATATCCATAGCTTTTTATCAAGGATCAAAAGAATATCTCAACATCAATTACCAACCCTCTGCTCAGGACACTATCAGTGATGCTATTTGCAGTCCCCCAGGCCCAGGTCTGGCTGATTCCACTGCCTGAACTCTTTTTTTGCCTTTCAGTCTTCTTTTTAGGAACTCCATGCTTGGCTTCACCCAGTAGCAGATGGCTTACTCTTATTCCCCATTTAGTCCAGCCGATGTGCCTGGGCCCTCAGGTCACATGGCCCTGGACAAGGCCAATCCAGGACACAGTGGTCGCAAAATTAACCAACTGGCAAGGTATTGTCAGGGCCTACTTAGAAACCAATGACTGTCAGAATTGCACAGCATTTTTAATATCATCACACTTAAGACCTCATTTTATAGGTCAGGTATAACAAAAGTAACTTGCCCACAGTCACCAGATGACCAGCCTCCTGAACCAGTTGTGTTTTGTTTTTGTTTTTTTTTTTCCCAACCATAGAGAAGGAATATAAAGAACATCTGGATTTAAGACCTTGAAGTACTACTTGCTAAAGGTATAATGATAATGATGATGATGTTAGCTAATATATAAAGTACTTCATATGTGTCAGGTACTATTTTAAACACTTTATACACATTAACCCATTTAAGCCTCACAGCAGCCCTTTAAGGATACACTAGTATTATTCCTATCTAACAAATGAGGAAATGGAAGCACACAGAATTTAAATACTTTTTCCAAGTTCACATTGCCAGTACCTACTGAAGTCACAGTTCAAATACAGGCACGGTCTGGCTCTAGAGACTCTGTTCTTAACTTAAATACTATGCTGTCTCTGGGTCTCAGTTTCTTTGCCTGTAAAATGAGGATAACTCTACTCTCTTGTCTGCTTCATGAGCTATAATACACTGAACCAAGAGCTGACAGGTATGTGCACAGAGGTTAGAGGAAGGCTGATCTATAAGGGGCTGGCAGCTGTATGAGGCTCCTGTGCGCTTCCATCACAAAGACAAGCAGGAGCAAAGGAATGCTCCTCACTTACCCTCTGAGTTGTTTTAAAAAAGTAAACTAAATGTGGGCTGGAAATTGGTCCAAAACCTCCTCTTTGTGTACAGAATTGACTTTTAACTTGCTATAATTTTTTCATATGTATGTACTTTTCTCTGCTCATCCATTTTCCATCCAACATTCAGTCAGTGAGCTCCTATTACGTTCAGGGTTCTGTTCACTGTGATTCAGCTCCAGTCCTTACCTGAAGAACAAAGGTTCTCCAGGCACCAACAATGCATACCTTTCAAGCAGTATGTAAAGGTGGTTAAAGGCAGGCAAATCTGCCTTCAATTCTGGGCTTTACTACTTTACAAAGTAGCAGTGACAATAGGAGGTGAAGGACACAAGAGGTTTCAGAGAGACAAACTGAAATGGAACTATAAGCACATAATTAGGATACTGAGGAATATAATCTCACAGTAACCAAAGAGGTTCAAACTATACAACCTTGGGCCTCAGTTTCTTTACCTGCAAAATTTGGATAATAATGTTTGCCTCACGGACAGGGCTGTAGAGAAGGTGGACTGAAATGCTGGATATACAGTAACTAGTACAGTGCCTGGAATGTGCTGGCCTAGTACAAGACTTCATCAAAGGAGGGATTATACAAGGCTATTGGGCTCTAGAAAGGTTTTGTGAGACACTGAAGATAGACCTTAAAAATGGATAGAATTGTAACAGAAAGAGAAGGGCATTTGAGGCAGAGGAACAAGATTAAACAAAGTCTCAGAGATAAAGACTATGGGGAATTTGATGCCAAACAAGTAGTGAAGGTTAGAGAGGGTAGGGTTGGGAAAGGGGGAGTGGAGGAAAGGATGGCTAGAAAGGTGGGATGAAGTCATTTTTGAAGGGACTTGGATCTAGTTTCAGTAACAGAAGGTCAAAGTTGATTTTGGGGATGGAGGTTGATCCTAAGTGTGGTCATTGAAGTATAAGGGTAAGTTAAGAGGAAATACTGGCTTTGGAGAAGAGATGACAAGCTTGCTCTTTAAGGTGTTAAATGTGCAGAGCCAGCAGAGCATGCAGGTAGGTTTTGTGAACTAAAATCCTCAACCCCTACTGGCTGACTGAATGGACCCCCTCGTGGCCAGAGGAATATTCAAGGGCAAAGTTGCCTGCCAGGAGGAGGGAGGTCAGACAGGCCTTATCATGCCCCCCTCCCTTCTTGGAGATTTCCTTTGTAACCCATTAATAGGCCTGAGGGTATGCAAGACAAACCTGCAGGCCTTCTATTTGCAACAAATGGTGGCTTACCTCTGGTAAACAGTTTATGTTAAAACATTCCACCTCTTTAGACAAAGCATGTGTCTTTAGCCAATTACAATCTAAAGAATCTTTAAACCCACCTATAACCTGTAAGCCCCCCCCCCTTCGAGATGGCCCTCCTTTTTGGGCCAAACCAATGTATACCTCCCACACATTGATTGATGGCTTTACCCATAACCCTTGTCTCTAAAATGTATAAAAAACAAACTGTAACCCAGCCACAGCAGTCCACTTGCCCAAGCCTCTTGGCAGTGGCTCCGGGTCATGGTCCTCAAATTTGCTCAGAATAAATCTCTTTAAAATTATTTTACAGAGTTTGATTTTTCCGTTAACAATTTTGGCGTAGTCGGCAGGACCTCAGAGAAGACTCAGGGCCGCCTAAGGAGCAGCGCGGACTCGCGCCAGGTACCGGCATGGCCCTTTTAGGCCTCCGACTCCGAGCTTCTCCTTTGGCGGGAACTGGTAAGTCCTCCTGAGATCCGGACCTCCCGTTTTTGGTTGATGGTCTTGGTTTATTCAGAGCTGGTTCTTTTCCTAGGAATTGTTGTTTGGGATCCTAATTTAGTTTTGGAGGTGCATTCTAAAGGGCTTTCTCCGTTGCCTTTTTTCCACTTGAGAGTGAGGAAGGGCAAA